GGGGGTTTTCTCTCGCTCGCTCTGTCCCTTCATGGCAACAAAGTTGCGGCGCGAGTGAGCGGGGCCGCAGCCCCCTGCCCCGCCCGGGCCCCGGGGGAGCTCGGCCCGGCCCCGGCCCCGGCTCCGGTCAAGGTCATCTCGTGGATCTACCCGCGCTCCGCCGCCGCCGCCGCCTGTGGATTATCGCCGCCCGGAGCCGAGGCTGAGCGCGGGGCTTTTCTTCTTCTTCTGTTTTTGTCACTCCCTCCCGAGGGCGGGGAGGCGGGGGTGGGTTTCCCCTCCCCCCTCCTTTTTTTCCCCTCGCTCCTCGATTTTTTTTTAAAAATTATTTTATTATTATATTATTATTTTTAATTTTTTTGGGGGGTGTTGGGGTGCGTGTGTGGACATGGATGGGAAAATCCGGCAGAGCCGCAGGTCCCGGTCCCAGCGGGACCGCGTGAGGCGGCGGGAAGCGGCCGCCCGGGACCCCCGGCACCACAGCCCGTCGTCGGGCTCCGAGAAGGAGCCGAGCCCCGGCAAGGAAAACACCAGTCACAACTGCCCGCATCCCAAAAGCCAGGCGTCCACGGCGAGAAATGCCCGGCCTCCCCGGCGCCGGAGACGGGAATCCAGCTCCCAAGAAGAGGATTTAATTGACGGCTTTGCTATCGCCAGTTTCAACACCCTGGAAGCCTTGGAGGTAAGAGGTGGGACGCTCCTGGGTGCTCGTGTCGCCCAGGAGGGGAGAAAAGGCATCCAGGATTCATGCTGCGCTCCCAGGGGTGCTTGCCTCGCCCGATGGGTGAGTGGTGGGAAGAGCGGGGCTGGCTGGTGCCCCCCGAAGCCCTTGTGGGTCACCGGCAAGTTCCTGCAGGCCGGCGGTGGTGGGGCCGGCCGTACTTTTCCTTTCCACTCCTCTCAAGTGTCAAGTGAAGAAAACGCTAGTTCACCATCTCCAGGGGCTGCCAACTCTCTGCCCAAGGTGTTTGCCTTGTATGGTTGGTTTTTTGGGGGGGAGGGGGATAATGTGGCATGGTTGTGAATGGCTGAGCCGTAGAGATAGGGCTTCCCTTTTTTCTTTTTTTTTGTCACCCCTCAAACTTTGTATTCAGACTGCCAAAATGTGACTTGATCTGCTTTGGGAGGTGGCTAATGAATGGCCCGTGTTTGACGTTTTGGTGGAAAAAGAGACGTTTAAATGCCTCCTAATCCCTCGGTTGTAATTCCCATTTTTGAGGTAATTGAACAAGTTCTGCGGCTCTTGTTGACTGTACGTATTTTTTCTGGTGGTAATAGGTTGGCAAAAAATATGGCTTGTCTAACTTATTACAGACAATATTTGCTGAGCAAATACTGCCTGTCTTGTCTGAGCTGAGTTAAGCAGAGCAGGAAATTTAATGTTTTCAGAGGGGCAATGACAAGCTAAAGCTTTGGATGGCTTTGGATTTCTTTTTGTTTTGTTTTGTTTTGCTTGCATGAGAGGAGGAAAATTTGAGTTGGTAAGAGAGAGAGCACCTAACAGGTCACTCATGGAAGAGAAAAAACTTATATTCTGAGTAAATAGGAATGATAACTGTGCCTTCATTCACTTTCTTCAGTATTCTGTATTCCCACAAAAATGTGGGTAATGGCTTTTGGTTTTTTGTATGTTGGATTTCCTGTCATTCTGGTCTCTTGTCACTGGGATTACAATAAACTGTAAAATGTTGTGGCAGTTTTGACACTTCTTATTAATCTGTGTAGTGTTCATAACGTTTACAGCCAGATATCAAGGCTTTATTTTGTCAGAAGGTTTCACAAACAGGCTACCTGATTTCCAGTCCAGGCATCTTGATGTGGGCCTCTTGTCCTGTGGTTTCAGTGGCCCTGTGGCTACCAAGATTTGCTCAATCACCTTTTTTTAGTAGTGTGTTTGTAAAGTCTCTTGTAATGGGTAATAATACCCAGCAATCCCTTTACACTTCAGATCAAGTGCCACCTCCCTTGGTCTTGTATTTCCCCTCTGTTTCACTGGCCACCTCATTATTGGAAGAAATACGTGGTACTTTTATTGCAATAAATGATATGGGATAAGAGATGACTAACTGCTCTGCAGTGGTATTGGGAGGTTTCTAATGCATGGCACCCTCTTTGTTTCTTGTGGGACTGGGTTGGCAAAAACATGGTTCAAAGAACCTGACTTTCCATGGAAATAAAAAAATTGGCTGGGTTTCCAGTGAATAACATTGGATGTCTAAATATTGGAGTGGAAAAATGACTTATGATTAGACTTAAGGGTGATGTTTTGTGGCCTACAGCACAATCTGTTGCGGCATATTACCTTCATATTTCAACTAAATAGTATGTCTATGCGCAGATGATAATGAGCAAACTATCTAGTTTTGTGTTGCTTTAAAACGGGTGACATAGACCTATCTGTGTGGTTTGTTTGTTTTTTTCTGGGCATGCTCATAAGCCAAGCACACATCAGGAGATAGGTCCAGTTAAACCATTGAGTTTCTCAGAGCCGTTAGTGAAGAAAGGAAAATTCATCTCTGAGAAATTTTAAATTTTCTACTGCCATGAGCATATTATTAGGAAATATAATTCAAATGATGGTGCAGACCCTCCAGGGCTGAAGAAGAAAATCCCACGTGGTATATGGCTATCACCCAAACAATAACTGGCCCAGTTGGCATTGTGCACAAAGAAAGAGGGTGACATTTAAAAAAAAAAAAAAAAAATCCTACCCCTTTGTTGGGGTAGGATTCTATGAAGATGCTTTATACAACTGCCCCCTCCTGAATATAGAGCAAAATACTTGAGAAGCACATAAAAAGAAATTGATTTCTGCAGTCTTTATCAACATGCAAGAGAGTACATGCACTTCAACATCTTAGATTTTAATTGGCTCGTCAGAATAAATAGAGTAAGCAGAATTTGCTTGTTCCTTTCATGTATTGAACTGGGAGGCACGTAATACTTGAGGTGCTTTTGAAAGCCCTGGTGATCATGTGTATTTCATAAATTCCAGTAACCAAAAAAAAAAAAAATTACTGTGCATTGTGAGGATTTTTCTTACAAAAGTGCAGTGCTGCTTTTGACAATGGGTAATGCCTGGCAGATTTGATGTAGCAGCAAGCAAAGGGGATTATCAAGACAAAACTGCTTTAAAGTAACATATGCCCACATAAATAACTGAATCTGCAAGGTAATTTGGAACACTGTGAAGCAATACTCTGTAATGTACTTGACTACAACAGGTGGTTTTATTCTGGCTTTGAGAACCTGCATCTTTTATGTTGCAAGTACTCTTAAAAAAATCTCTAATGATAGCTTAAAAATTGCATCAAGTCTGAGGACAAATAATAGAACAAAAAGCTAGATTTAATCAACCGCTCCTTGACTTTATTAGGAGGCAGCAGAATTTGAGGATGCTTTTGCTGTGTGTTGCCACCTTAACCATTTTCTTTAATTTTTAAGCCTAAAAAGGCATTTGTTTGCGTGTGTGGCAGCTCTTCATTATGACCCTTTCTCATGTTGCTGTTTCGGCATTTGGTTTTACATTGACCTGTGATTAGGTTAAGATAGCTAGCTAAACTGTGGTTTTCCCCCATGGAAATTAAATTGATGTATGGCTAGAGAGAGAAACAAATTTCTCTGCTTTCAAGTTCTGTTTATCCCAAATATTGTGAAATCCCCTTCCCCACTTCAAAAAACTCTCTACCAATGTTCCTGTAAATAAATGGTTCTATATATACTCTTCCTGTATGTTGAAGTGGTGATAGCAGCAGCCTGAGCTGTGTTGGGGATTAATGTTGCTGGTGAGGAGATAGGAGATACTTTACGATTTTTTTTTTTTAACTTTCTGGCTCAATGGGTAAGAAGTGGCACTGTAGGTTTTCACTAAGCCAATACATCATGTTCCAACTGTGTGTTTTAGTATCTGAGATCTTGTGTCTCAACTTTGCATATATTTGTTTGTGATTTCATCTAAACAGCTCTCCCATCCCAAGCTGTTTGGGATCTTAATAGAGAAAGTTCTAAAATAAGTTCTGTGTCTCAAAGAAGAACCAAACAAAAAACAGTAACAAACCAACAATTTTTTTTATGGGCACAAGAAACTGAAACTGCCCTACCTCCTCTCCTACCTCTTCCCGCCCCTGGCAGCCTCCAGTATCTACTGTATCAATCCCTGGTCAAACAGCTGAAAATGTTTAGTATGTAGCCCCTTCCAGTCCCACTTTCTACTCGTTCTTTTTGACTCTGTATGAAAGACCTCAACTAACAGTTAGAGGCAGGTGAAAGAAAAATATTTTCTTTTGAGATGCTCAGTGCAATGGACAACCACTGGAAGACTTTTAGTTTGTGGACTGCGCGCAAGAAGGTACTTGTACTGTGGGTGACAAGACCGAGTGCACGGTCAAAAAAGTGAGCGCTATGAACAGAAGAGTGAGAGAGCAGGTCGCAGAGCAGGCTGAGGAAAATCCATGGTTGGGGTGGGGAGAGATTGAAAACCAGGGGAATTTTGAACTGTATTCTGAAATGAATGGTACATACAAGAGTGTATCTATGCACTACCTTCAGATGAAGTTGCTAATTGTTCTTGAAGGTGATTGGTGAATCAGAGTGAAAAATATTAGATGAATGAGTCTATATTTAAGGACTCTTCCTGATCATAGCTGTTCATTTCAAGTATAAAAACTGCGTTAAAAGGGGAACTTCATCAGAATGCTAATGAAAGATCTTTGAAATCAGTTGTTCACTCAAAGCTGTTGTAAATGTTGTTACTCTGTGAGAATTTTGGCTTTTCATCAGTTTTACAGATTTAGCAAAGTTGGGAAGGTCTAAGTTTTTATTACTAGTATTATTTTTATTGCATGTTTTGCTTGTTTGTAGTATTGAAGCTTCTGGAGGATCTGAATGCATTTTGTGCTGTGTCATATGCAATAAAAGGCAGACCTTACTTAAGGTTGTGCTGAGATTACTCACATGGGTAGTTGATGACGCTGCCTGTATGCACAAGCAGTGTCAGCCATAAAGGCGCACACAGTCCATGCCCTGAAGCAGTTAACGTTATGACAGTTTCCCCATCTTGTTCCTTTCTAGAGTGATTTAGCAGAGGCGTAAGCTGTTGGTTGCATTTTGGTGTAGCGAAACCTGGAAAGCGTAGTGGTGATACTAAACTTCTGGACTGAATCCATAAGTTCTTCAGTTATTATCTAGATACGACTGTTTTCACATGTATGTTATACGCTGTGCTGTTACTGTTGCTCTGATCTTTTGCTGATAAGAAAGCCAGTGTGTTTAACTGCAACTTCCTGTTCCAAAAGTTTTGTGGTAGTTCCACTGACCTAAACTATGTAACTTCTAATTTATGATCATCTCCTTTTTATATGTTTTGTAAGTTTCATGTCATTATGTTTTTTTCCCCCCATAAATAAGCACTTGTCTTTAAAGCAGTGATTTCCACCACTTAGTGTACTTTCCCTTGTACTTAATTGTCTTGTGACAATTTGTGAAGTCAGTATTTTTAAGATGGTATTCTTAAAAAATCTTCAGTGGTTTCAAAGTTATCACTGTAAGTGTTTTTCTTTTTTTATTTCCCTGATGGCATGTTGGATTTAACTGATTTGTTCCCATAATAGCTGACTGTTATTTGCAAATAGAAACTGACCCCTTCTCTCAGAAATCCAAACCTTCTGTAATTATTAATTTGTT